TTCAGAAGGTAGAAGACCTCGATGGTTCATCCTTTGTATAGATGCCTTATGATATGAAGTTTGTCCTTGACCTCATTTTTATGGTTCAGTGACTACCTGAAAAAAAAGTTCAGATATTTTGTAATGTTAATTTCTCTCTTATTATGAGTATTAGGATAACTATATTTGGTATGTGCGTACCTTGCAAGGTCCTCATGCCTCTCAGACAGTTTTCACTTGACCTCAACCTCATTTCATGGATCAGTGAACAAGGTTAAGTTTTCGTGGTCAAGTCCATATCTCAGATACTATAAGCAATAGGTCTACTATATTTGATGTATGTAATGATTGTAAGGTGTACATGTCCAACTGGCAGGTGTCATCTGACCTTGACCTCAATTTCACAGTTCAGTGGTCATAGTTTAGTTTTTGTGTTTTGGTCTGTTTTTCTTATACTGTATGCAATAGGTCAACTATATTTGGTGTATGGAAATATTTTACATTGTACATGTCAGTCTGGCAGGTTTTATTTGACCATGACCTCATTTTCACAGCTCATTGCTCAATGTTAAGCTTTGTGTTTTGGTCTGTTTTTCTAATACTGTATGCAGTAGGTCAACTATATTTGATTTATGGAAATATTTTACGATGTACTGAGTACATGTCAGTCTGGCAGTTTTCATTTGACCTTGACCTCATTTTCATGGTTCATTGCTTATGTTAAGTTTTTGTGTTTTGGTCTGTTTTTTAAACTTTAAGCAATAGGTCAACTATATTTGGTGTATGGAATGATTGTAAGGTGTATATGTCTGTCTGGCATATATCATCTGACCTTCACCTTATTTTCATGGTTGATTGGTCAATGTTCAGTTTTCCTGGTTAAGTTTTTTTCTTAGATACTTTAAGCAATAGGTCAACTATATTTGATGCATGGAATGATTTTAAGGTGTACATGTATGTCTGGCAGGGTTCATCTGACCTTGACTTCATTTTCATGGTTCATTGTTAAGTATAGAATTTCCATGGTTTGGTCTGTTTCTTTTATACTATAAGCAATAGGTCATCTATATTCTGTGTATGGAATGATTGTATTAAAGGTGTACATGTATTTCTGGCTTGGTTTATCTGACCTTGACCTCATTTTCTTGGGTCATAAATGTTAATGTGATACTTGTAGTAAACTTTATATGGAGGACTATCAACATAAAATCAATGGTCAGGGGCGTAGCTACCCGGAAGCATGACAGCACGTGCATCCAAGTCGTTTTCACCAACAAAAAAAAAAGAAGAGAGAGAGAGAGAGAGAGAGAGAGGTGGGGGGGACAAAGTTAACTTATAGGAATTGGTCTTTCTATGTATGTATTTTAAAAACTACACAAAGAATAAAAGCAAGAGGAATAAACATGCAGCGAAATTTTTAGTCCTGTAAGACATGTATGTGTACGATAAATTTATATAAACAACTGGTGTAAAAATATTGAAACTTTTTATATTACGGACATTGTTTAGAAAAACAGCTACATAATTGTCGGTACCACCACCATAACGTATACTAGCCTTGAGTGCAAGCAACATATAATCCCTTTAGGGTTAACAAAAAAACTTGAAAATTATTATTTTCCGCCTCGCCCCAAAGCACACATCTTACTAGAACGAAGACTCTTTAACTCGTATCAATCCGGGAATAATGACTGTTACCTTGTGAACTAGTTCAAAAATTGACCAAGTATGTAGGTCTTGACAACACGAATACTTCATTTTCATATCACGTCAACGTATTCTCGTCCTGGTGTGCATGTAATATTTGCTACTGGACATTAATAACCATTCAATCAATCAATAGTTTCCGTAAACTAATAGACGAGAAGTTGGAACTGCTGTTATTATAAAAAAAAGTACACATTTCCAGTACATGTATTACGTTTTTTAATTTATTTTACAAAAAAACATATACTGAACTATTTGGTCATTCAATTTTATAATGAATTTTCTGTCTGTTCGAACGAAACACCAAACTTTTAATACACGTCTCTTCACTGTTATCATCTAGATATTGCAATACAACTTGTCGAATGCATATGTATTTGTTAGTTAGCTGGATAATTAACAAACGCAGATCATGAAAAGATTGTGATCAAAGTACCATTCTCTCTGAAAAAGTTCCTTAATTTCAACTTGGAGAATTCCTAACTGCGTAAAATAAGAAATTCCTATCTCTCTCTTGTAGAGTTTACCCACAGAATTTTTAAACATCAAAAAACATATGTTCAGCAAAATATTGGAGAATGTGTCCACCAAGTATTTGGTATCCAAAGATGTTTATGCTAACAAATTCCACATATAGTATTGTGTTTATGTTTCTTGTTTGTTTTTTATCCATCTTCTTTGCTCAATACAAATACTAGCATATGGAACAAACCTCCGTGATTTTAAAAGCTCTCATGTCGTACAAAAAAAGGCAAACGACAATGTTTAGTCTTCATTCAACTAGAAGTTAAACAAATAGTTGACCAAAAAAACACAACAAAAATATACAAGTTTTATTACGGTTGTGATTGTTTTGAAACGCTATATATGCGGATTTTCCGGTGGGCTTCGCCCCCCTGGACCTACTGGGGGCCTTAGGCAGCCTCCAGACCTCTCACCCTTTAGTTTGTGATTCCACTTCATTAAGAAGGTAGCTACGCCCCTGATGGTCAGTATAGTAGGCAAGACATTTCAGCGTGTGCACTTTTGTCTTAATCTTTCAGAGGGGCCTTGGTGGCCGAGTGGTCTAAGTCGCGGAACTACTGTATCACTAACCTGTCAACACTGAGGTTTTGAGTTTGATTCCCGCACATGGCAGGTACGCTCGATTCCAATATCTTAATTGACTAGGATTGTCAGTTTTCATACCGAAAGTCAGTGGTTTGTCTCAAGGCACTCCGGCTTCCTCCACCAATAAAAACTGACCACCACGAAATAGCACAGTAGTGTTGAAAGTGGCATTAAACACCAACCAATCAAATCAATCTTTCAGATACTTCAATATAGATATTTACTTGTAAATAAAATGCTCCACTGGGCGCAGCTTGATACGACCACAGAGGTCGAACCCTGAACAGTTGGGGCAAGTATGGACACAACATTCAAGCTTGATACAGCACTGAATATGGATTGTGATTAAATATTTGACACAGCATAGGTTTCTGACACAGAATGAATGTGGTCTAAGAACTTAAAAAATTTTAATTTACCTATTCAAACCATATCATTATTATTTGCTTTTATATATAAATCAGAAATAACCAATTTAAAATGGAAAATTTTAAAGAAAAAAAAAGGAAAAAAGGAAAAAAAAATCCCTCCCCCAAATTTTTTGAACCCCCTTATGATTCATCACCCTCAAACTCAATCCCAGCCTTCCCTTTGTGGTATGGTACCTTGCAGTACAATTTCAGAGAGATCCATAAACTTGAACACAAGTTATTGTCTGGAAACTAGAAAAATGCTTGTTTTTAGGCCCCTTTTTGGCCCCAAATTCCTAAACATTTAGGGCAATTACCCCAAACTCAAACCAAGCTTTCCCTTTGTGATATGGAACCTTGTTGTACAATTTCATAAAGATCCATACACTTACACACAAGTTATTGTCCTGAAACTAGAAAAATGCTTGTTTTTTGCCCATTTTTGGCCCCTTATTCCTAAAATTTTGAGGCAATTCCTCCAAAATCAATCCCAGCCTTTCCTTTGTGGTATGGTACCTTACAGTACAATTTCAGAGAGATCCATACACTTGAACACAAGTTATTGTCTGGAAACTAGAAAAATGCTTATTTTTGGCCCCTTATTCCTAATCGTTTTAGGCAATTTCCCCTAAACTCAATTCCAGCTTTCCCTTTGTGATATGGAACCTTGTAGTACAATTTCAGAAAGATCCATACACTTAAACACAAGTTATTGTCATGAAACTAGAAAAATGCTTGTTTTTTGCCCCTTTTTTGGCCCCTAATTCCTAAAATTTTGAGGCAATTACCCCCAAAATCAATCCTAGCATTCCCTTTGTGATATGGAACCTTGTGGTACAATGTCAGAGAGATCCATGCACTAACACACAAGTTATGTCTGGAAGTTACAAAAATGCTTATTTTTGGCCCCTAATTCCTTAACTGTTGGTACTATAACCCCCAAAATCAATCCCAACCTTCCTTTTGTGGTATTGAACCTTATGGTAAAATTTCATAGAGATCCATTCACTTAAACTAAAGTTAGAGTGCGAAAACCAATGTGTCTTCGGACGACGACGCCGGACGACGAGGACGCCAACGTCATACCAATATACGACCGCAAAATTTGTTTGCGATCGTATAAAAAGGTTATGAATTGAACAATACAGACATATTTGAGCCTTTTTTTCAATATATACTATAATCAACAAAAAGATACAACAGCTGAACATATATTGGAGAGTTAAAAGTAATCAAAAAAGGATGATGTTGAAAAATTTCAAATCAATAATTTGACATGAGACATGTTCAATGACAACAGTTGGTTTTACAGAGCTATATATATATATTTAGAATGCATAAAGTAATATAATAAATTAATATGAAATGTAGCTTGTCAGTCATCTTTAAAATTATTGTGGTAGTAAGTACTGATGCAGCAAAAGTAATGGTTCCAGTGTATGAACAGACCTGTCAACTATTCCGATTTATGGGGTATATCTCCCATGAGATGTGTTGACTTTAATTTTGAAATTCTGTATTATGTAAACTGAACACCTCAAAACAGGCATTCAAATAAGTTAAAATGTTAAAATGGTATATAACAACATATATTTTCATTCAAACAATATAGTAGTAGATTAAAAACACTTATGACAATATAAGAGGAGCATTAAGTCCTTTTGCACTTAAAATCCCCCATGGAGATTTTGAAAAGTTGGCAGGTATGTAAGAATCAATATTATTATATAATCAGATTTATTTTTAGTTTTATTTACAACAGGGGGTAATTCATGTAAATATATTTTTTTACAGAGAATGAGAAAGGACCATGAGTCAGAGATGAACAAGTTGAACAAAAATGTGCCCGTTTATAGACATGATAGATGATAGATATATCGAATAAGACAAACATGAAAGATGAGCATGCTGCACTGCTTCTATAGATATGATAGGAGTCATGAGGTTCAGAAAAAAGCAAAATGTAATTCTATGTCTACTTGGTGTAGCTTTATTGACAACCATAGTATTAAAAGGTCATTTTAATGATCTAGAAAATCCTGAAAATTTACAATTTGTCTGGAAAGCCACTTTCCCAACACTGAGATACTTTGAAAAATCTATACCAGACCAAAGAGTTTATCTTCAAGATCTTGGTGTGAAAGGGAAAAAAGATATTTCAACTACATGTCAGTTTCCTCGACTTTCCCTTTATAATGATGCAAATAAAGACAAATTTGAAACATTGGACCCTCTAGTTTGCAGCTATGGTAATGACTTATTCAATTTGGAAAACGGGATTGTGAAAATGAATAAAACTGTTTTAAAGACATCCGCAGATAATGCAAAAATTGAAAAATGTGAATATGTAGCAATAGAGAGGGTACATGATGACTTCTTCACCTATACAGAACCAGTTGTAAAAGAAAAGCATCCTTTTGATATGATTATTCAACATGATTTTATACAAGTAAAATGTAACTTATTAAACCCTGATGAAGAGGCAGCTAAAATTAAAGCTAATGAAACAAGAGCTAGAAAATCTACTGATTCAAATGAAATAACAGACATGGAGGAATGGTATACACAAGATAATCCATTTTTGTATCAGGAATATGGTATGGGCAAAGAAGAAAATTTTGACTTTGATCAGTTTATAGTTCAAATATACCCGAAACCAGAAGTTCTGAAGAGAACCAGCGGTGTAACATCTGACAATGGAACTGGACTGAATGTTCTTATAATAGGTCTAGACTCATTATCTCATTTGTCCTTCCAGAGACTACTACCATTGACATACAGCTACTTACGTGATGAATAAGATTTTACAATACTGAATGGATATAATATTTTAGGTGATGGTACAACAGCAAATGTGATTCCCTTACTCACAGGTAAGTATGTAAAATTGTTTTAACTGTAAGACTTGAAAACAAAAACACACAATATGGTATCAGAATATGGAAAATATTTGGATTTGCACTACTCTTAAAGTTGACAGGTCTTACAGAAAACACATTTTTATATATATTTTCTTATTACAACTATTATCACTCCAATTTGGGCTTTTCAGATATCTGGACTTATAAAATATTAACTGACTGTTATATATATATAAGCCTACATATTTATGAACACTAGATAATGACAAAAATACAGGACACATGAACTTTTGATGCGGAAAATTTACATCATTCCAAACATTTCCTTTTATAGGTAAAACAGAAATGGAACTTCCAGAGGTTAGGAAACATATGCATAAATCGGGATATGTGGATCAGTACCCATTTATTTGGAAAGAATTTGAAAAGCAAGGATATGCAACAGCATATGCAGAAGATGAACCTTCCATTGGCACATTTAATTTGCGACTAAATGGTTTTAAAAAACAACCAACTGACCATTATATGAGACCTTTTTGGCAAGCTTTGTGGCGGTCAACTTTACATGAAATTAGTCCACGATATTGTACTGGTCATACACCTCATCATCATTATTTACTAGGATACATTAAAGATTTTTTCATCAAATACAAAAGTATGCCCAAATTTGCCTTTCTATTCATGGCTGAATTAACACATTGGAGAAATGATCCTGGTCAGTATTTAGATTTAGATTTTAAGAAATTTTTCCAGTGGTTCGAACATTCTGGTGAATTAGAAAAGACAGTTGTCATAGTGCTGGCAGATCATGGTTCTAGATATGGAAAAGTAAGAAGTACTGTTCAAGGAAAAATTGAAGAAAGAATGCCATTGATGTCTGTACGATATCCTATTGAGTTTCTTGAAAAACACCCCATGCTATTAAAAAATTTAAAATTGAATAAAGACAGATTAGTGACACCATTTGATATTTATGAAACTGTTGCAGATGTGTTAGATAAATCGAGATTTTCTACTAAATCACCTAAAAAATCACACAGAATAAGCTTGTCACAAGAAATTCCATTCAATAGGACTTGTAAAGATGCCCACATAGATACACATTGGTGTTCCTGCTTGTCACGACTTCAACAACATATTGACAATGAATATGTCAAAAAGACAGCTGGTAAACTAGTTGCATATATAAACAGATTAACACTTCCTGTTAGAAAGCACTGCAGAATACTTAAGCTGAAAGAAATAAAGTCAGCATATCTGATGATTCCAAATGAAAAGGTTTGTACTGTTGTTCATGTTGTGTGAAAGTTTACGTTTCACAATACATTATTGGATCCAAATTACTGTCTGTTCAGATCAACTCATTATCTCAATAATCAGCGAGACAGTCAGAGGCACTTTTGTCACGAACAGGTTTTATGTATCATATTAGATTTTTTCCGCATGTTATTTGCATTATTTTAGAAATTTATATGGCTTATAGGTATTTTTTTCTTCATAAATTCTGGCCTTTCCACTGAGGGTCTCAACATAGGATTTGGGGTACAAATTTGCAGCTGGGATTTCAAAACTACTATCATTCATATAAAAAGTCTTGTGAAAATCAAGACCTTACATATATTTCATGGCAAAATCATAATCCATTAACATATTTCTCAGTTGTCACATACCGGTATGTACAACCTGTGACATCCTTATTTGATTTAAAATGATTATTTAACTTGTGTCTATTGATGATAAATATGTTTACCAAATCTGGTAATTTGTATAAATTAAATATATGAGGAGTGGTGTGCAGTATATTCAGACGTTTAACCCTATCTGATTAAAATACAAATGCTGTGTACGCAATTAGCTTACAAGGATCTAACAATTTTTGGATCTTTTTTCTGTTTCAAGGACATTTCAAGATTCTCTGGTTTTGTTGTAATGATTTTTTAGGCAGGAATTACATTGTCTAATGTAATAGTTACCAAAGCAGAAAGTAAAACAGTGTTGTCATTTCTTGTAAGCAAAGCCAGGACACAGGATCTTTATTTTAATCAGATTAAAGACTAATTGAAAGGTGAAAATTACTGACCTATTGCAATATTGCCCAGTGAAATTGCATATCCCATTGAGCTGTTTTAACTTACCAATAAAGTGCCCCATTCTAGTGGTACCCCGATGTAAAGCTTCATATAGAAAGAAACACCCACCTCTTTTCTTTTAAGCAGTGCAAACCCATGATATTGATTGTGTTATAATATATTTACATGTACCGGTATTTACAAAAGACAAATAGGTTATCTCCCCATTATTTTTGACACCATCCATATTTAAGTTTATTTAATATAACTAGAGCCAGAAACATATATATTTGTCTGCTAGAGCCAACTATGCCTTATTCAACAATTTCTTCTAAAAGATCATCAAAAGTAATAAATATCTCCTAATAGAACCTTTTCTTGACATATTAAATCAAAAGTTAGCAATAAGTCCAAAGGTAACTACTAAATACAAATTTCACTCATTTGTGGGTATGATTTTTTACCATCATTATTGGAAAAAGAAGTTTGTGAAATTGCCTTTTTGAGAATTGCATTAAATAGTAAACTACTATGTTTTAGGTACTGAAATTTTTACGAGAGAAAGACCAGGATTACAGATATGCCAATTTCAGCAAAGATGCTTTGTTAGACATAGCTCATTATGAAGTCACAATAGAAACTCATCCTCAGAATGGACTTTTTGAAGCAACTGCAGTAGTTAACTTTAATGAAGGAAGTGTAAAACTCAATCCAGATATAAGTCGATTAGATTTATATGGCGAGCAACCATTATGTGTTCAGAAAAGATATCCTGACTTGAGGAAATTTTGTCTGTGTAAAAATTACAAGTTATCAGAGGGAATTTAATTATCAATTGGAGGGGGAAAATATTTGAATCTCATGGCAGCTACATATTATTTTTTCAAATGCAGTTTTATGTTCCTTAACATAAACAAACTTGTATTAAATCGTTTACTCGTTGATCAAATTTAAGTTGTCAATAATGCACTGTTGTATATGCCATAATTTTTTGGTTAATCCTAAATGTGGATTTATATTATATATGGGTAAAATTATATTTTATGAACTATACAAGTGTGGACACAGATCAGTGTGGATAGTATGATTGGATGTTTGACAGTGTTTTATATGACAAAAGGAGTTCTATGTTTTATGTTTTCTATGTATTAACTGTGTTGCACAATGACAACCAACATGAGCATTAGGGGTGTTGTTTATGTAATATTTAGTTTTTTATGTTCAACACGGGCAGGGAAGAGATACTAATTGCATTAATTACCAAATGATTATGATAGAATATATATGTTCCACATCTTTGATTTTGGATACATTTTGTAGCTAGGAGAGGAACACATAATAGGTTCATTTTTTTCTTAATGTGATTTTTTTATATGGGAGATGGTATCTGAGAACATGTATTTGCTTACTATTTGTATGGTTCTATTTATATTACTTTGTGGGGGATTGTCAGTATCATAAGTAAAAGATTTCGGTTAAATGTGGAAATTGTTTCTCAGTTTAGAAGACATTTAATGTTTTTTAGTAATGACAATGCCTGACATGATGATTGGGGCTAGATGAGCTAGAAAGTGAATTTCTGTGTTATTTTTTATTAATTCTTTGAAAATATCTCCTCCAAAGCTGGTCAAAGCAAAAAAAAGTTTTGACCAGTATGAAAATGATATCAACAAAGGAACCTTTGTGAGCATGCTTCAAAGACTCATAACTAACTACAGAAGTCATATGATAAAATGTCAAGTGGATATTATGAACATCTACTTAATATGTCTAAATATCTAAAAAGTTTTAGTATTCAATATGAAAAAGCTATTGCAAAAGTATTCTCTTTTCAGTTTTTTTTGTTATATGGATACAAATATAAGTGATACCAATACAGTAAGGCAGTTTTGTTATGGTATGAAAGTGTAGTAATTAGCATTTACTGTTAATTCACACAAATTAAGAAGTAAACAAATGAATGATAAATGTTGAACATGTACAATGAAATATATTTTAGAAATCAATTAGGCCAGATAGGCCTTATAAATTTTGGTCTTTTTCTTAACATACTGAATGACCATTTACAATCAGGACTGAGTCGCCAGTAGGCAGTACAGATGTAAACAAATGTGGATAGTGTCCACATGTGGACACAGATGATGCCCCCGCTTGCATATCATATAGTTATAAAGGGACATAACTGAAGAACGGTAAAAGTGACGCTACCCAAATTTGAACTTGATATGAGTTTTGTGGTTGGGGCAAACTTAAGTTACAGAATGGAAACTAAAAATTTAGCAATCTTTAGATTTATAAAGGGGCATAACTCAATAATGGTTAAAGTGACCCTACCCAAATTCAACTTGATCTGTATTTTATCAGTGGAAGTCAAAATTAAACATTGCATTGTATAAAGCATTGATTGTAGTTGATTCAACTATAATCATGGACAAAGGAAGATAACTCCAATTTTAAAATTACTTGATATTTAGAAGAAAATAAAAATTTAGCAATTTTTCTATTTATAAAGGGGCACAACTCAAGAACGGTTAAAGTGACGCCACCAAAATTCAAACTTGATCTGTGTTTTGTGGTAATAAGCATTGTGTATAAGTTTCATAACATTTGGTTGAGGCATACTAAAATTAGAGAACGGAAACCAATTTTGGGACATACGTACGTAATGCCCCCTCCGCTACGGCGGGGGCATAAAAATAAAGTGTAACAAAAGAACCTAGCATCATATTGCTAGTAGCGCCAGTAGCATTGTTTGGTGAATTTGTGCATTTTTTTTTTTAGTTTGGCTAATGGACAAAAAATGTTTGGTTCAAATCTAAATAAAATGCTTTTATCTCCCTATTATTTACATTGTACATAGAATGGATACTACTTTGATAATTCCTTGTACACGAGAGTTGTCTGTCAAATCTTTATTTCACAAAGAATGAATTGCATAACAATGAACTGAGCTCAAAGCAAAGCACTTTAATAATACACTTAGACAATGAGCTCAATCCAGTGATATACTTTGTACTACAGGTCCTTCATGAACATCCTACTGGTCAAAACCATATCTCACAAACATGCCATACTACATGGTTGGATCAGAAGTCCTGAAAAAGACATGAACTTTATTAACATATTTTAAGTATATACACTGGTTAAAACTTTCACAAATTTGTGGTAAAATTATTCAGTATCTAGCAACTATCAATCGCTTCATGCACAAATTGATATAGGTTCAGTACCCCTGTGTCAGAAATAAGAACATACCTCCACCTAATTTTAGTCAGAAACGTAAAATCTAAAATTTATAAAAAACGAAAGGGAGCTCATGTCAATAGATATAAACAATTCACCAAAGTTTTATGCAAATTAGTTAAAGCGGTTTTGAGTTAATGTCCGAAATGTTGACGACGGACAGACAGACGGACAACGGTATACCATAGTACGTCCCGTAAACGGGCATATAAAAATGACAGGGTGTCATACCACACCAAAACCTTCTGAAGGAAACACTAAGTTGGCAAACAAATTTTTTTTTTTTTCATTGACAACCCTGTATAACCTTGCAGCAGTATCCAGTCTACATGTATTAACTTGTATATTTCATGTACATTGAACTTAAAAATATGTGGTCATTGTCAAAGTTAGTTATGTCAGTTATAATTTACACATTTACTGGAACATGCCAGAGAAGTGCAAGTACAAACTTTTGAATTTGATCTGCAAACTGGGTAAGCCATCCTTTTATATGAATAAAATTCCACAATTTATTAAACTGAAAGGGAGCTTGCATCAATAGATATATATAAACAATTAACCAAAGTTTCATGACAAATGACAACTGCTTAAAGCATTTTCGAGTTAATGTCTGAAAACATGGAAATCCCCCTTTTTGAATGAATAAAACCCCTTACATTGTAACTGGATAATGTAAATTCTAAAATTCCGAAACAATCTAAAGGGAGCTCACATTAATTCATGTCAGAATATAATCCCATATAACTCTGAAACAGGAAACCTAAAATTTATAAAATAATCAATTCACAACAGTTTCATGCAAATTGGTGAAAGCGTTGACGAGTTAGTGAACAAAGCATTTTTAGAGTTAATGGGCGTTAACATAAAAATCCCCCTTTTTTGGATGAATAAAACCTCATATTTTGAAAATGTATATTATAAAATTCTTAAAAATCTAAAAGGGAGCTCACGTCAGTAGATATAATCAATTCACCAGAGTTTCATGCAAATTAGTTCGAGATGTAATCTGTCCTGCCTTTTTATTTTTCACTCTTTTTTGTCCTGCCTTTTTATTTTTCACTCTTTTTTGTCCTGCCTTTTTTCTATTAGTTTATCCCGACTTGTTTTTACATAAATTGTCATCCTGCCTTTTTTTTCATATTGTCTCATCCTGCCTTTTTTTCAAATTTCATCCTAGACCCCCCCCCCCCCCCAAAAAAAAAAACAAATGGTAGCTCCCTAAGTTAGCAAACAAATTATTTTATATTTACATTGACAAACCTGTATAACCTTGAAGCAGTATTAAGTTCATGTATTATCCCGCATATTATTACATGTACATTGAACTAAAACAAATTGTGGTCATTGTCAAAATTATAATTTACAGTTTACTTTTCCAATGCTTTCAATTTAAGATTAGGGCATTTTTGTCATTGGAATTGAGTTTTGTAGTCGGAGATTACTCTAACCTCCAACGACTGTTTTGCGACATCAGCTACATGTAGGGCAGTGGGACTTCAGCTGGTCCCATATCAGATAGATGATATTTGCCCGTCCAAAGTGGATGTGCTGCTTCGTTGCTTCTGGAGGCGACTGGATCCATATAAATCAAGCCTCAATTTATTCATTTTTCTCTTCATTTAAGTAAGTTTGATCAACCAGCCACCCGTTATCTTCTCATACATGTATTTGGACAGTTTTCACATTGACCCATCCAGTGGAGGATCCAGAAATTTTCATAAGAGGGGGCCCGCTCCAGTCATGCTTCAGTGATTCTCTATATATTATCAACCAAATTGTTCCCACAAAAGTGAAGGTACCCCCATTACCACCCTCATTTTAACTTTTACTTTATAAGAATGTCACATGACCAACATTATGGGAACTGATTTATGCAAATGACCCTTATTCAATAGGAAAACAATCTTTATAAATCGAGCCTCAATTAGTTCATTTTTCTCTTCATTTAAGCAAGTTTAATCGACCTGCCATCCTCTAATTTCTCATATTTGGACAGTTTTCACATAGACACATCAATACTGGCATTTTTACTTTAACTTTAAAAGATTGTGACATGACCAACAGAAAAAGTAATTTACAATGCATTATGAGAGCTGATTTATGAAAATGACCCTTATTCAATAGGAAAACATAATCTAACACCTCCTTCATTTATGATGCAAATAAGCTGAATGGCTGAGTATGTTCAATTTGAAAATAAAGAGTTAAAATGCCGGAATCGCAAAAACAGATGTTGGACATCAGAGGAATCTCGGACTATGAGTTTTAGGCAATTTGTAGGGGAGAGGGTTCAAGTGAAGCAAATGCTCTTTAAATTATGCATGTTTCAAAAATTGGGGAAAAATTACTCAGAGAGTTGAGTCATTTTTTTCAGACTTGATTTAAATAATGACTAATGTAGACTTACCTTCTAATAGAACTTTTTTGTAGGGAGGTCAGCCAAAATATGAAGTATAGAGAAAGTGCATGAAATTACATTATTATTGAAGAGCACAAAAAAAGAAATTCATTGGTGCAAAAATTTTGGGAATCGGTCAAGCGGTTCAAAAGTTATGACCATTTATATTTCAAAATTTTGGCCGTTTTCCTTGCGAAGGCAAAAATATCATATTTTGGGCTATTTTTCAGGCCAAATATATCAAATGGGTTAGGAACTGCAAGCAATCTATATGCATTATTGCAATAAGACTCTTTTATGCTTTGATTTAAGCCACTATAGTCCTTTGTAACATCAATATTAAGAAAACTACAATATCTCAAACTTTGTAAAAAAAAACTTTGGACTTAGTTTTTTTTTGCTATGTGTCAAGGGCATCTTTGAATAAACTGCTATGTTAAGACATTGATATCTTGAAATGGAAAGCAGGCAGAGGTCTGGTTGTTTGCAGTTATGTAAAGACCTAAACAGTCAACAGAAATATATTAACAGTTGTATTGCCAACATATCTGAATTTTTTTTTAGCCGACTCAAAATCATGCCGGCAGGCCCCCCTTTTTTTAGGTAGTTTTTTTTGGGAAAAAAATATATTTTTGGTCAGACAATGCTGGAAAAAAATCCCTAATTTTTTCTACTACTTGTTTTGTATTGGTATTAAGTTGTTTCACAAATAAAATAAGCTCTGTAAGCTAATAAAAAAAAATTGAATTAGAAAATCAGCATTTTGACGTAAATTTTTGAGCTATTTTTCGCCAAAAAGACACTAAAATTTACACAAAAACTTAATTTCTTAATTTGACAGTAATTTTTCACAGAAGTTAGTGACTGTTACTGTGACTTTACATGTAAAAGCACCTTTTTGTCATATATTAATAGAATTTAATGCAATACAAATTTAAAAAATGGTCAAAAATAAGAAATGTTTTGACAATTTTGAAAATCGCGGATTTTTTCAAATATTTGCGCAGTTATGCAAAAATTTAACGGAAAATAAAAGATTATTACACATGTTTGGTATCATATTAAAGCTTACAATCTTAGCTTTCAGATGAACCTAATTTCATTGTATTTGGCTGATTGATATTTATTCTAGATGGAATTTGATTAGCCCTATACCTGCATGAAAAAAAACTGTAATTTTGAAAAATCCCAAATTTTGACCGAGAAAATAAAAAGAATCCATTTAAACTCTAAGAGTTAAGTCATTGTTTAGTCAGACATTGCTATAATGATGTTTTCTCTTGGAAAATGTATTATTTACACTAAAATATTCTCATTATTCAAAAAAATTGGTAAATATTTTGCGAAAAACCTGTTATTCCTATAAAAAATGGATATGTCGAGAAGTTATTATATATAAAGACCAAGATCAAAGCAGTCTTTAAGTCTAATAATCCATTGGGATTTGCAATAGTGACTATCTGAACTGTTTTGGTATTCATTATAATAATGATACATTAACTATTCATCATTTGACTAAGTTTATTGAATGTTCTAAAGTATATATTTTCAGGTCTGAGCTGTTTCTTCACCAGAATTTACCATATCTACAATAGACAATATGTACATTATACAAATTAAATATTTTGTATTTGTTCAATTAACTTGAGAGTACCTGCAGTTTCTTACAATTCATATAAAATCTGGTTTACATGCAATCTGAAAAAAAAAGACTTTTTATTTTTGAGATTGGCTGCTGACAAAGTGGTTTTTCTGGATTTACCGTCATCAGAGATGCTCCATGTCAAAATAAACAAATACAACTCAACTAGATATCATTGAGATGGGAGCCATCTCTGTGGGCCACGCTGTGAATAATGTGTGGTAAAAAATTTGTATCTTTATCATTGGACATGGGGTTGTCAACTGAAACCAAAGTTTTTGACCTTGACCTTTGACCTAAGAAGTTGTACATAAATTATGACACACCCTCTGGTGTTGTTTTTTATACACATATCAAGTATAAACTTTGAAATCATAATGGTTCTCAAGATATAGAGCGGACACGATCGTTACCATAGGACATGGGGTTGTCAACTAAAACCAAAGTTTTGACCTTGATCTTTGACCTAGAGAGATGTACATACATTATGACACACCCTCTGGTGTTGGTTAATATACATGTCAAGTATAAACTTTGAAATCATAACAGTTCTCTAGATATAGAGCGGACACAATTTGTTAAGGACGGACGGACAGACGGACGGACTGATCACTATAGGGCGTCCACCATTCGGCGGGGCCCTAATAAAGGTCAAATCAATTTGCTGCAACCATTCTACAAATAAATCATTACAATATGATAATTAGTACCCTGGATACATTTTTACAAAAGAAGAAAAATAGGTTAAGAAACTAAAAGAAAACTAAAAGAATTAGTGCTGAAAGACAAGAAAACAATCATTAATCTTGCTGAAAAATAGTTTGTCTATAATAAAATCCACACATCTCCATTCTGGTATTCCTCTATATATAGTAGGCTTCTTGAAAACATTACTGTTGCTGTCATTGACATCACCCCCCTTCTCAAAGTCGTATGCAATATATGACAACCCTGTATCTGCATCATGCCCTGTGTACTAAAACTCCTTCCCATCAGCCTCTCGACAAAATCTGTGGTCTACTCGTCTAACTACAATAAAAGCTGGATCCAGGGGCGCCTCTCCATGTCGTTGTTCCCTAGAGTGTGCCCTGTCCTAGTGGAAAACCTTAAGTTAATCAAAATAAATCTAGACTGTTAAAAGTAAGTTCTAAATCTTAAACAGAATGAAGAAATTTATTAAGGTCAACTCATATACATGTGTGTCCCAGTAATAACTTTGTTTGTGGAGATATCGTTGCTCATTTTTACATTGTATTTAATTCTTTTTTTTCCGTATCATATTATATTTCTGAATCTGTTCTCTATGCTTCTTCAAAAAATTTCTTATTTTTTGTAGTTTGGAAAAAAATGAAAACAACATGTTATAAATTTTGTGCGTCCAAAGTGCTTTTCTGGATTTACCTTCATCAGGAACATATTAAGATGCTTTTTAACTGTGATTCCCTAAAGAGAACCCTTTATTTTACTTCTATTAAATGGTTTGACTGGTGGTATTATAGCACTATCTTTAAGCATTGTATAAATTTTTTTTTTTTTTAAATTTAAAACATTGTGCAGAAGAAATTTATTTAGCTGAGCTGTAGAATTATATAATATTAAATTCAAATCATACACATACACATACATGTTCAGGATGTGCTTCATCCAAACTTTCTAACCAATTCACTGTATGGGTTTTGAGTCCAATATTGGTATTTCCCTCCAGGGCGTTGGTATAGTGACTCTCCACATGACTCTGATGAGACTGTCTAACTGGGAGAAGATCCTTTCAGGCAGATGGATGGACAGACAGTATCATTCCTATAAACACAACAAAACTTTATTGTATAATAGACTAACAAATTCTATCAAATTTCAAATAATCTGAATTTTTATTATTTTAATACAAAAATTGTTCAGAGGAAAACAGATTTTTAATCCTGATCATATTTGTAGATAGTCATAAGGTACATGTGTTATAAGTAAACACAGCATCTGCAATTCTGTTAATAACTTAACTGTCAGTTAATAGGCATCAATATTAAATTACATAATAAAGTAAAAGTGACAATTATTAAATTCAAAAGTCAAGGAATAAAATCAAAAGTTTGAATATAAATATAAATGAAGGATGCAAATATCAACTAGAATTCTTTATAAACAGTGTGCATATTTAAGAAAACATCTACAATATTGTTTATTATGACCAATTAGTTAAAATAACATACTCATGCTACTGTTGAAAAATCATAAATATAAATTTTTAATGTACATGTATAAATGTGTGCAAATATTCTTCCAAACTGTCATATGTATACATTTTTGACAGAAAGCATTTTTGAAAAAGAAAATTTTAGTTCATTATGCCTAATCCATAAGTTTAGAATAAATATATAGTTGGTAATATACTAATCTATGGTTTAAACAACATATTCCTGTCTCAAAATGAAAAAAAACAAATGTAATGTGTTCAAATTATACCAACTATAATCAACTGCAATGTAAAGCACCGAAAAATCCGAGTATTATCAATGAATAAAACCCGAGAAATTCCGAATGGATCACATTCCAACGTTAGGAGAATTTACCTCATTACATATTCATAGCTTAATAAAAAGGCCATGGGGAGCGTTTAAAAAAAATTGCTGGTAGAAAGTCCCTTCCAATTTATAAGTTTAATATATTTAAACAAAAAAATACATCCTGGAAATAATTTAAAGTTATTTTTGTTGACTTTTATGAAACAAGGAATTCCCCTCCCTGAAATATGGCAAATTTGCTAATATAAGATATAATAAAGGTACTTACCTTACGTGATTGGCCTCCGTGGCCTATTTCCAATGTTGTCTGTCCTCTCAGTAAGCAGTCCGTCCAAAAAATAGTCGGTAAAAGTCATTTTGTTACATGTTTCATGTTAGACACAATGGCGGATACGTCATTTCCGGAAGTCAAGAACAGATAACTCTTTTCGCAGATTTTTTGCGTGAAAACCACGCCCTGCTCATACAAATATACAATCAATTCCGCAAGCCGCTATTGTTTTCCATGTGAAACCATGGATACGTGTGGAAGGAGAGAGTTCTGGAATTTATGAATCCGAGTGTCAGTGGTGTTTACAAAGTCGTAAACGATTTTTTTTTCACATCTATTTCAAAGATTTTTCATATCTATACTGAAAATCGACCGTTAAGTATGACTGACAACCGGATCATAAAACTTGAATATATTTCCAAAATTTTAAGCCATCAATGAAGAAAATCTGACGAGTAATAGCTTGCGGAATGAATTTCAAAATCAGTAGTACCTTTGACACACAGTTTTTCCGGCGGCCATTTTTTTCAAAACAACTCCACTTCAAACATTTTTTTTATCGAACCAAATCACTGCAATACCCATAAAACTTATATATTTAGAAAGACAAATGTCTGAACTTTAATTACATATCAACTGTTTGCTCATACAATATATTTTTCACCTTTTTCAAAGCAATTGAACTTGGGTAAAATCCGATATTTTTGCCGTCGCAAGGAAATCATTACGTTACGATAATCGCATTGAAGTTCTAATTCTATAAAAAAATTCACAACTACTGAACATGAACAATCATGCCTTTTCATGGTACTTTTTTGTCTATGAAACTACACTATGACATCTGATCTGCAAAACCTACAAACAGACACAGAAATATCATCAAATAGTGAAATATAAGATTGATTGCACCTTGTATGGATAGTTCCGACACGTGTTACATGGGGAGCCCGTTTGTTTACAAATAATAATGTCACGTGATCACGCACTGACCGTCACAAATTTTTATCCTCCGCCATTATTCTTATCAGCTTATTACACAATATTACTGTACTTGCACAATTCACAAATGCATAACCCATTTATCTTGCGGACATGCAATGGGAATGTGCACGGTTATCAAAAACTTCAAAAATATTGCATGTACAGTTAATGAAGAAGTTATTTCATCAAATAGATAAGATTTTCACTCATGACACAAATTGACTGGGTGTCATCGCCATCGGGGATAATTGATAAATGGGATTAAATTGACCACCAAGAAGGTGAAGAGAACCACCTCTGGAGAACCTTAACATTAATAAGTAATACTCACCAAAATTTGTCTATAATTAACGCTATTTTCTGTTGGAAAATTTGAGAAAGATGCTGACAAACTTATTTGGTGACACAGATTATTTTTTTGTGTTGGCGCGAAATATATTCTTACTCTTAATGCTTGACGTAACAAAAATTTGTATAGAATTATATTTTACTAAAGCTCAGCGTAAATATGCAGAAGCATGACAATACATTAATGATAAAATGTGTAAATATTTCTGTAAAAGAATATAATTTTACTTTACCAGTATACTTCACTTAGAATTACATTTGAGCGCAAGAAAATCTCTATGTGAATCGGCTGAATCCCGGGGTCGAAGTTCAACATATCAACGGAAATTTTTGCGTGTGCTTGCGTTGCTTTAGATCAAGGCCACAGCTTTTCAACCAATCGGGGAATGTTTACTTGGGGCATACATCTATTTTTACTGCAGGTTTCGACATGTTTAAATCGGGATTATAGAAAAATGGAATGTTGTTGGTAGATACAAAACAGAAAATGATGAACACTTTTAGCAAAAGATATATTGGATCGGGGGTCTGTGAATTCACATTATTTGTACAACTCTCCTTACTCTTGGGAAGCGTGTGCTTTACATCGAGGCTTGCGTTGCTTTACATTGACGCAATAGTAGTTCAACCAATCGGGGAATGTTTATTTGGGGCATACATCTATTTTTACTGCAGGTTTTGGCATATTTTAATCGAAATTAGAGAAAAATGGAATGGTGTTAGGAGATATAAAACAGAAAATGATAAATATTTTTAGCAAAAGATGAATTGGATCGGGGTTCTGTGTATTCACATTAATTGTACAACTCTCCTTACTGATGGCAAAAAAAGGAATTTCCGTGACCTAAATGGTTCGCGAAAATTAATATTTTTATATATATATAGTAATTAGGTGAATTGCAGAAAAAAGAATTTATATATATGTCTTTCATATCAGGGGCGGATCCAGGATTTTGGAAAGGGGGGGGGGGCGTAGTATGTAAAGTTTACCGAGCGGAGCGAGGTGAAATTTTTTTTTACCTTTTTTGGGCGAAAAAACATAAAATAAGTGTAAAATGCACATTTTTAATGATTCCTGACGTGGGGCATGTATATTTTATAGTTAAAGTGTAAGCTAGGGTTGGACATTTTTGATGCCGCATTCTCCCCATTAATTGTCTATTATAAAATAATTGAATGGATCCAAAGCTATGTACTAATATATTTGATGTGGGATTTGTCAGTAAAAAATGGACATGGAAAATTCTCGTTTGTTGTATGGTTAATAAGCATAACCTCACAGATTTCTTGTTGTAAACATGATATACGGCTATTCAATGAAGTTTATAATACGACCGACAAGCACAAAGACAAACAAGCAATTTTTATCCAAATGTTTGGTTGAAATGTTTCGCCCAACAAGGGAAGTGAGGGGTTCCAAATCAACCAAAGGCTACGAATGAGTCTGAAAATCAAATGACAACGAAGTTGTTAATGACGGTCGACAAATGGAGACATAAAGGCCACACCCAGCAGGCAGATTGCAGTTGGGCCTTGAAAAAAGTATTCAGTATATCAGTTCGGGGAAACAACATTCCGGTCAGGTATGGGATTTACATGCAAACCCCAAAAAAAATTACGCCCGTTTTTTATTCACCATGTTCATTTAATGCTGAATAATTTTATTGGATTTTTTTTTTTTTATTTCAAAAAAGGGGACACGATAATTGTTTTCAATACAGATACGGCCAGAATTTTTGTTTAAGGCAAATACCAGGGTCAAAATTTTTTCTTTAAAATATCTAAGACTGCCCTTTCAAATCAAATGGTACCTTAGACTTTAAATCTATCTAGAGCTTACTGACTGGGGATCATTATTCAGCAATGTTATTAATTGGCTGGGGCGTGTGGGGTTACACATATTTTCGTAGGTGAATAATATTGCTTTGGAACTTTTTTTTTCATGAGAGTGTAATAGAGCAGTCTCACTAATTAGCGACAAGAAGAATTTTAGCGACAAGAAGAATATATTTAGCGACAAGAAGACTATTTAGCGACAAGAAAACATTTTTTTATTAAAATTATTTATTCCAAATGTATGGGATTTACATGCAAACCCCAAAAAAAATTACGCCCGTTTTTTATTCACCATGTTCATTTAATGCTGAATAATTTTATTGGATTTTTTTTTCTTTTTATTTCAAAAAAGGGGACACGATAATTGTTTTCAATACAGATACGGTCAGAATTTTTGTTTAAGGCAAATACCAGGGTCAAAATTTTTTCTCTAAAATATCTCAGACTGCCCTTTCAAATCAAATGGTACCTTAGACTTTAAATCTATCTAGAGCTTACTGACTGGGGATCATTATTCAGCAATGTTATTAATTGGCTGGGGCGTGTGGGGTTACACATATTTTCGTAGGTGAATAATATTGCTTTGGAACTTTTTTTTTCATGAGAGTGTAATAGAGCAGTCTCACTAATTAGCGACAAGAAGAATTTTAGCGACAAGAAGAATATATTTAGCGACAAGAAGACTATTTAGCGACAAGAAAACATTTTTTTATTAAAATTATTTATTCCAAATAAATGTTAAAAGAATATGCAAAATAAACAATTTTAGCGACAAGAAAGTTAATATTCCATCAATAAATAGATCGAAAAAGTCATTTTTATAGTAATAAAGCATCACAAAATTTTGAAACATAGATCTAATTGCTACATATATTTGTGATATTTTATTATTTATTATGTATTACATTTACCCTATAACTATCGTATTATGAAATCAAACCAACTAATTCTAAATAATAACGTTTAAGGATGAACAAATTAGAATCATCAGGTTGTGGTTCTAAAGCAATAAATTCCTTTTCTTCAATCAACATTAAACTATGCATAAACGTGATAAATATCGTTAAATGAGGCAATACTCAAAATAAAATGATGGAAAAATATTCACATTTTGATTATGTTTTCCTCTTGTTTGATTTCAGTTCTTTGTATTTCACAATTTGTGTGTATTTTCTGGACAATGATGCACAAATAATGCATTTTGCAAGTTTATTATATATTGTACAAAGAGAGTTTTAAAAACAAATTATAAGATAAATATATTATTGTTCTAAAACAAAAGTAAAATTAATAAAAATATCATAATACGACAGGGTAAACGTAATACATAATAAATAATAAAATATCACAAATAAATGTAGCAATTAGATCTATGTTTTAAAAATTTTGTGGTGCTTTATTACTATAAAAATGACTTTTTCGATCTATTTATTGATGGAATATTAACTTTCTTGTCACTAAAATTGTTTTCTTTTGCATGTTCTTTTAACATTTATTTGGAATAAATAATTTTAATAAAAAATGTTTTCTTGTCGCTAAGTAGTCTTCTTGTCGCTAAATATATTCTTCTTGTCGCTTCTCGACGCTTCTTGTCGCTTCTTGACGCTTCTTGTCGCTAATTAGTGAGACCCTAATAGAGTATTACTTTCTGTTAAGTGGAATTGTGAAATAGAAGCCAATACGTTCTTGCTCAATCCTTTGTCGCTTTGAAGGCGTCATGCATGTCATCTTCCGCTTAAGCAATGTGTTACTGTAATTTGAATTTCAAAGTGCATGACTGAGTGTCGTTTTTTCGACGTACTGATCAACTCCACCGTAGCGAATCACATGACTTCAACATAATCAATAATATATTACAGTACATACGAGCGTAAAAATTAAATACACTGCCGGGAAATGGCAAAGTTCACTAAGTCTAGTCTGATTAATAATTTTACAAAAAATAAAACAAAAAAAGTTCAAGCAAAGGGGCGGCGTACGCCCTCTACGCCCCCCTCTGGATCTGCCACTGCATATCTTTTATATACTTTCTTTTCATTGAAATTACATAAATAAGCATTTGTTAGTCTTGTATCATTTTTATACGCCCGTTTACGGGATGTATTATGGTATACCGTTGTCCGTCTGTCCGTCCGTCCGTCCGTCCGTCGTCAACATGTCGGACATTAACTTAAAAACGCTTTAACCAATTTGCATAAAACTTTGGTGAATTGTTTATATCTATTGACGTGAGCTCCCTTTCGTTTTTTTATAAATTTTAGATTTTACGTTTCCGAGTTATGGGGTTTTATTCATTAAAAAAAGGGGGATTTTCCAGTTTTCGGACTAT